GAAATGTAAAAAAATATATAAATATACATACAGCAAATCAATTAAGTATCAAATACGCAGTTTATAACCGTAAATAACGGCTTTTTTCTTGGAGGTATGTCAATTAAAATTAAAAAAGCTTAAGTGGGAATGACAGTGTGGGGGTGGGGTGTGTCACAAACTAAAATATCAAAAACATCAACATGACATTGATCCGTGTGATTGGCTGAGGCCTTGTGGCTTAACCCAAAATGCATTATGGGATCAGAGTATTGGCTCCGGCAAACCTGCTTTTTTACGCTAAACAATTACAGTACTTTATTGATAACCCGGTGTTTAACATTGCACTCGATTTACATCAACATTCATTGGTGCTTCGAAAACATTGAGAAAGGCTTAGAAAAAAAAGTGTGTCTGAGGAAATGTTTTTTTTTGTTAATTATTGTATTCCTCGCATTGTTGATGATTCTGGTGCTACTGTAAATCACAAAGTGACGATGGCATAAATCGGCGATGCTTTTTGAATCCGCGGTTGGCAACCTATGGCCTTACCGGTCAGTCCACGAGGCTGTGATGAAGTGTTCCTCGGAACTGCTGCAGATATACTCAAAATTTCGTCACAAAACGACCGCATTTCATGGTGATATGTAATTGATGCTATGGCGATTCGACAAAAAAAAACATGCTGAAGGTTTACAGTGGTCCGTTGGCACAAAAATGCTTAGCAACGACTGCTCCAAATTATGCTTTTAATCAGTAATCCTCAAACGCTCAGTATACTTTAGGAATTGCTAAAGTCTCACGAATATGCTCTGCAATTTGGCATCGTAAGTGGCACTAGCAATGAATGCGCTTAGGTAAATTAATCTGCATGGATTATTTGATTAAAGTTTTGAACGCACGGGACTGTATTGTTATGCTGCGGAGAATTGTTTCCAATTTGATCGGGGTGAATCGGCTCTAAGTTGCATTTTATTAAAATTGTCTGCCTGAGTTGAATGCATTACCGTATTACGTGAAATGTGTGAACTTCTGAAGGAACTTACATGGCAGAGCTCTTGAAGACAACAAGGGCTCTTGTAACAATAAGACGGAGATTTAAACATGGATCAGTTCAGTCTTGCCGATTAATTTCCTTAATTTCCAAATTGGCCACACGCTGGTGGCATTTAAAGTTAATGTACAGAGATGTACGTATACTCTAGAAATTACTTTCAGAATAATGTTAAGGAATCAATTGATAACCGATGACCCCCAATGCTCATGTGAAATCTAAAACTCAGTCATACTTCATTTCGATTTAAAGCTTTCGTGACTGCAGGGATTCATCTTCTTGGTTCTTTCGGTAAAGTCACGTAGAAGGGAAGTAATAAAATAATAAAAATAAAACATAATAAAACAATTCTCACGACGTTTCGGCCACAACGCAAGCAGCCGTCCTCAGGTGAAAACCAGGTCCGTCGAGGCGACAGAGTCTGAATGAAAGCTCGTGTGCTGTTTCATTCAGACTCTGTCGCCTCGACGGACCTGGTTTTCACCTGAGGACGGCTGCTTGCGTTGTGGCCGAAACGTCGTGAGAATTGTTTTATTATGTTTTATTTTTATTATTTTATTACTTCCCTTCTACGTGACTTTACCGAAAGAACCAAGAAGATACTTCATTTCGTTTATGAGCACGTGTGTATTGGGGTTTTGTTTTACATAGAACCCAATTCCTTACTCACCGCGACACAGCCTTAGTGCTGTCTTGGCCAAGGACATCCTTGAGGTCTAATACCCATTATTGTGCCCGCTAATTAGTACATGACCATCGTGAAGGGGTCACAGTCCCCCGTAATTCTGAGCGTTTAACTGCGTGGAGGTTTTTTTGTGTTTCAATTTGGGAGTCTTGTGACATTAACAAGGTTACCATATTCAAATATGATTTGTCAATTTCATGGTTACATTTCCTGCATTTCTCTCCATGATCTGGGTGACCAATAAAAGTCTGTAAATTTTTTCGTGTAATTTCATATTTATGGAAATTTTAAGACATTTTCTATTATACAATTCAGTTTTTCTTGCCCAATAATGTACTGTACATTGTGGGTTAGTGCTCTGCACCATAAACCAAGTGATCTAAGTTTGAATCCATATCACGAGTTATCCATCGGTGGTGAATGTCTGAACATGGTTCAGGCCCCATCCCCCTTCACCAACCCACATTGACCAGCATGGTGAAGTATGGTCAAACAACTCTCATGACACACCGTGGGGAGGCCTTCATCCATTCGCACGGTTGGCAACGCACGGTGTGAAAAAAGTTCAACATACATATGTACGTAGTGCGCATCTTGAAATAAAGAGGTTGCAAGTTCATATCCTCGTTGCAGGTCAACATAGCTCTTTATCTCGCCATGGTCGATAAAGTCAGCAACACTGTAGGTCACCAGTGATCTGTCGACAAACTGGCGTCTGGCATAGGATCGTGAAACTTCCATCACTGGCTCAAGGAAGTTAACTTTTCAGTTCAACACGTAGGCTTTCATGACCAATTTCATCCATAATACATGTTTTTTTCGGTTAGATCGCCTAAATATATAACAGGAGGATTTCTCCACAAATCTGGCTGTTGCCTGATGAAGCTAGTTGTAATTACTGGCAAAACGTCACGGAACTCTAATTGCTGATGTTGTGGATTTACTCTTCAACACACAAGTGGTGTGCTGAACTGGTAACGAAGTGGCACGTTCTGTTTACGTGACAAACCTTACGAATTGGCTGTGTCGGGTGGTGGCGGCTTTAACGACACATTTATATTTACGTTATCAAACCCATAAAACCTCTATAATGAAAGTTAACTTGTGATGAGCACCACCCTAGGTTCGTCTGAGGTGGAAACCACTCGGATTCGTTTCACTTAAATTGCAAAAAACGGTTCCCTCTCAGTATATTTGCGGTTAACTAGTCCAGATACTGCATCGAACCTGGAGAAAATGTATGTTGAACTTCGTTTGCACCGTACGTAGCCAAACACGCTTATCGGATGTGCGGGGGAAGGACAACAAACACTAAACACTAAAAAGCAGTGTTAAAGTAACTGCTTTTAAAGCAACTGCTTTTAGGCGAGAGTGCCTGGAGGCAGCAGGTGATATAAAATTGGGCTGCCGCATGGCCAGGAGATCACACTGCAGTATTGGACTGCTGAATCTATCTGTGTGAAGCTCCTGAGTGATTACCACCTCGTGTAGATGGAGGTTTCCTTGGCTAGCCCAGTGGCCTCACGCATGTAATAGTTTTTTTAAGTTTCGATTTAAAGCTTTCGTGACTGCAGGGATTCATCTTCTTGGTTCTTTCGGTAAAGGCACGTAGACTTTACCGAAAGAACCAATAAGTTGTTTTAAAAGCATTGGACAAACATCTCAATGTAGCAGTAAAAAGAAATGTATCTTAAGACTCGATGAGACTCCCGTGTTAATTCGAGGGCATTCGCACTCTGTAGTACCACTAAGAATTAAAATCTTGGAATGACAGTTTGAAATAAAAGCCTAATCAACAGTCCCCTCAAAGAGTAGATTTCTAATGTTAAGTCCCTGTGTTAACTGTAAGGGTTGTCAACCCTCCCGGATTGGCCGAGAGTCTCTACCAGAATTGGCATCGATCTCCCGGTGACTAATGAGAGCAATTTTGATTATGGATATTTTAAGAAAGTAAATGAATTGAGTCAGACTTGGCAACCCAAGTTAACCGTTAATTTGGAAATTACTGAATACTAACACTGCAAATAACCAGACAACACGTCTCCTTGTATCTGTCCCTCCCATAACACATTCCTGCGGAGGTGAGCTGGTAGGAACGTTGGGTTCCTCGGTCAATGGCCAGGGTCATTGGCGGCGTGGTGTATTCCGCAAATATGCAAGACTGTGAGGGCGTGCACAAGCCGGCGTGAGTAGGTTAAACGTTGAGTTTTATAAGGGCACCACGGGGTGACCAGCCCCTCCCCACCCAGCCCCACCCAGCCCAACCCTCCCCACCCAGCCCCTCCCCACCCAGCCCCTCCCCTTTCCACCCAGCCCCACCCCTCCCATTTTTGGATGCACGACGGACGGACGCAATAATCCCCCTGTGGGCTGGTGGAACCAGGTGGTTCCTACCAGTATAACGATCTACAAATTCCATCAGCCAGCCACACTGCTTTCTGGGTGTCCATAATTTTTGTACCATTGGTTCAAGACAAGAAAAACTGTGGGCCGGTTTCAAAATTCAGTGTCTCATCAGCAGTCAGCCTTGCTTGAACCAATGCTGTATAGCCATATCTAACAGAGAGGTCCCTTGGCTATAGACATCTGGCAGTTCACATCTGGTGATGAGACGCTGAATATCGAAACCAGTCCAGGGTTTTGCTTGCGCTGAACAAATGCTGCTGAAATTCTGCACTCCTAGAAGCCTGTGTGACTAATGGGATGTAGTTATTTTTTTAAACCGTGTATTTATATTTTTTATGTGGAGGGACAGATACGGGAATCAGGCATATTTCTTGATAATGTTTTTGTCACATTTTTTATGTTTTGTCATGCCAATGTCAGGCTTGTGTTGCCTCCGAAACGTCGTGATTTTTATTTTATATTTATTTCCTTTTATTAATTTAAAATTTTCACCTACGTGACTTTACCGAAAAAAACCTAAGAATATGAATCCTTGCAGTCACGAAAGCTTCAAATCTAGAACAATGTCAGGCCCTCTGCGTTGGGAGGTTAAACCTCTGTTCTGGCATGAGCCCCCCCCCCCACCTCGTAACCGGATCCGGAATAGGCTCCAAATCCATTCACGAAGAAATTAGTCCGCCGTCGTAACAATCGATGCGCGACTTAACGTTATATATTTTTTTAGTTTGATCGTGCTGTACTCGCCACGAAAACAATTAATCGTCGAACCCCAACCCCTACCCCTCTTCTTTTTCATTTGGAAGCAAGTCGCGAGCCGGGTTCGACTGCAACGCCGCGCGCGCTATTTTACCTCGGCGCGGAGTGATACACGTTTTAAAAGCGTAGCGTGGGTGGGGGGCGAGCGCGTTTGGCGGTGCTGCGGTCGGTGCTGAGCCTCTTGAACGCGGAGTGTTTTTTTTCATAGCGTGGACTCAAAACAAGTCTTTAAACGTCGACCTTTCTCTCCTTTCGCGTCTCCAGCCTGCCGCTGATTTCTTTTTGTTTGCAAGTGCAATGTCGTCCGGCTCTGTCTACATCCCCGAGCTGGTGGCGGAGAAAGACAGCCTCGACCCGTCCTTCGTGCAAGCCATGCGGCTGCTGGGCGCAGGTGCGAGCAGGCTTCGCTAGGCCTCGCTAGGCCTCGCGTGGCGGGAAAAAAACGCAACGGATTTGTAGCGAAACGTGTTAACGAACCATATATTAGTTTGTTGTTGTTGTTTGTGGGGGTTTGTAAGGGAATGTTGGGTGCTTGTTTGATGGCGCTTAGGGTCCGTGGTTGCTTATGGGGGCGGGGGGAGCGGTTGTGGGTCCGCCGGGCGTGTTGCGAGCATCAATGGTGGTGACATAGGCCCCCGTCCATTGTAAGTGGATGATGATGGGTTTATTCATTTTCACGCCGTTAAACATTAAATTAAGAGATCGAATAAGAACGGCTCCGTTCTGTATCTTCACCTAGTTTTTTTTGTTCAGCCGTTACTAGCTTTCCACACCCCCCCCCCCCCCCACGTGTTTATATGTATTTGTTCTTTATTATTAGCATCTGTCGTTCGGGGTTGATGAACAACAACATTTCTCTGGCTGGCGTTTTTGCCAGATGTCTTTGGCCAAAGTCTGCGCTTTTCTTACCCAGGAGGAGGAGAAGTAACGTGAAAACTTCAAGAACTCTTTCTTATCCTGAAGCCCTGTCGTCGTGCACGAGCAGATATTGGCATTTAGCGCCTGAACATTTTGCCATACGCAAGAATAGACTTGGCAAAAGCGCTGCATATATATATGCAGAGTGGTCCCGGATGAAGCAGAATCTTTATTTAAACTTAATATTTTTAAAATACTTATTTAAAACGTAAATACATTTTCAAAGGGGAAAACATGTTCGGGTCAATTCGTTGGGGGGGGGGGGTCGCAAGACAATTGGACCAGCCTACAATCTGGGGCCTCGGTGTTATAGAAAAAAAGCAGTACAGTACAACACGTTGTTGCCTTTTTTCCTTCTAAATACAGAATGGCATTTTATTAAGTCGTTTTATTTTTACTTGGCATGTGTACCAATGAAATAATAATTGATTAAAGTGATAATATACGTACTAGATTCTTGGCCCGTCCTAGAGCGAAAGCTGTAATATTTCCGATTTTTTTATTTAGCAGAGTATCATTAAAATCTTGTGTAAATTTAATGGCAGTGAATCTTACACAAAAGTATGCCATCAAACACTTAACTGCATTTCACTGTAGCAATGTATTAATGACTGAATCTAGCACAAAACTATGTCAAAGAACACCTCACTTCATGTCACTAACACTATGTAACTGACCTTCAATTTGTTCAAATTCACTGCTCTAATACTTTATTCTCTTCTGCTTTCGGTCGCTGGGTTGAAATACATTGGAATTCGATAGAATATCTGGAAAATCACCGAGAAATGTCTATTTTACCATAATGTAGAAGCGTAAATTAGACTTACATTTTGTCTCAAGTGCTAAAGAAATTAACAAAACACCAAATCCATTTTGTTACTGCGTAGAATTATTTATTAGATTAACTTTCAGTAAAGAAACGTCAAACTTAGAGCGAATTTGCGAAAAAAATCGCTCGACCGTCTTCTGGGCGAGTGTAAAAATCCACCCGCTCATGAATATTAATGACGGGGGGGTGCGGCATGTGGAGTGGCGTCACGCGCGAGAAACAAACACATTCTTGGTCCATAGTAATTACACTTACAATCCTCGGCAACACAATACTGTAAAATGATCGTGTTGCATAGCTGTCAACTCCATACTGTTTACTCCGTATTCTTGTGCAGCGAAATTGAGTTTTCAGGTCCATACGCTGGGTACAACCGTTTTAATACGGGCAAAAGCATGTTTTTTACTTTGTGCTTCTCCCTTGATTGAACTTTGCAGGATGTACGTTGAAATGTATAAGGGCACGGGGTGACCAATTAGATCTGAATTGGTCTGTTATAAAGTAGGAACTGAATGAAAACAATAATGATCTGCGCTTGATATTTCTTAACATCTGGTTTAACAGTCAAAACATGCACCACGCCGGTTTGTGTCCTAGTACGGTTAAAAGTTTATTTTTCTCAGTGCATGGCACTCACTAAGTTGTGGTATTTAACACTTAGAGAACAATGTTTCACTGATTTTGCCAGCGTCTATACGAAGCAAATAGTAAGGCTTATATTTATACTTAACACTGATTATGGTGTACATAGAACCGAGCTTGCAGACGTTTCAACAAAGCATGTGGTGGCAGGCTGCAGTTTTTATATACATTTAATTAGATTTAGGCGTGGATGATGACGGATACATACCTATAAACCGCTTATCAGAGCCTACCTTCTTTAAACCCAATTCAGACCTTATTGGTCACCCCGTGCCCTTATAAATCTCAACATTCATCTTACAACGTCCCATCACAAGGGAAGACATAAATAGACAAATTTCCCATATTGAATCGGACCTGAAAAGTCAATTTCCCTGTATAAGATTATGGGTAAACCGTATTGGTTGGCAGGTATACGAAATTGCTAGTAATGTCCATAGAGGTTTTTGGGTTAGATTGTGTAAATATAAATGTGTCGTTAAACCCACCCACACAACATGGCCATTTAGTAAGGTTTGTCACGTAAACGAAACGTGCCAATTCGTTACCAGTTCAGCACACCACTTGTGTGTTGAAGAGTAAATCCACAACATCTGCAATTAGAGTTTCGTGACGTTTTGCCGGTAATTAAAACCAGCATCATCAGGCGATAGCCAGAGTTATATGGAGAAATCCTGTTTTGTGGTTTGATAATTAGTCCTTAGCTAAATGTAAAATTGCGAACAACAGTGGAAAACGCCTTGATCGTAGTTGAGAAAGCGATCGCCCTTGATGCGCGCGTGCTTATCGCAATTTCATTATCCTTTTTGAGTCCTGTCATGAAGCCACGTTTAGAAACAATGGATCTTTTAAACTCATGTGGTCTTGTACACGTGATTGTTGTGTTATTGCTAGTCTAATGATGCTATTTTAAATTGTTTAAAGAATTTTCACACTTGGAATTTTGGCAACAATTGTCACACCTGTACAGGAAGTTCTTTTTTATTTCTTAGCGAAGGAGGTCTTGAACCAGAGCATTGTTTTTGGGACATCCGTTATGTTTAGTTTAAATGACAACGCAAATGCAGTGTGAAGCCAGTCAAAAATAAAATCTTGAGTTTTATTTTTTAAAATTAACCAAGCACCACCACAGCTTATGAATTAACAGTGTATGTCACCTTTCTACAGCTGCCAACACTAAATCCATAGCATACATTCAGAAGCATGCCCGCTCATTCTCATGTATACAAATGAGTGCAAATTAACTTGTAAGCCTTAATTCTGTTCTCATCGCAGAAATATCACGTCTGCAAAACGGGGGCGACGACAAGAAAGACGATGACAAGAAATATCGGAACATAATTGGCGAGCAGAATTTCAAGTTGGCGGAGAAGGTCCTCATCCCAGCTAAGCAGCACCCGAAGGTAATAATCATCGTGCATATTTTTCAGGATTCGTGCAGACCCGGTGTGTTAATTGTTTAAAGTAGCACTTGTTCTAACACTGTGTGTGAATTCCTGCTTGAATGAGCATTATTAAGGCGGGTGTGCATGTGCTGTTCATTGCCCGTAGTCTGTGGGGGAATCTGCATTTCTATGGCAGGGGTGAGTCTTGAGGACAACCACTGGATTTCTCCACAAAGTGGTGTTTGGTCTTTTTTGAGCCTACAGGGATGATGGGATTGGGTGAACCCCAGACAGGATTCTTTACTTGCAACCTTCTGATTTCAATCAACTCGCTGTACCACTGACCTGCCTGTCATTTTTTTGAGACGAGTCTACACAAAACTGAGGAAACAAATAGCGAACTCAAATTCGAGAAGCGCTTCGATTACACAAATAATACCATCCCCCAAGTACTGTGTTTATAATTATGCTTGTAGCAGGAGAGCAATGATGTGAATTTGTCACCTAAGGAAGAGAAACATTGCTTTTATGGCTACCATTTAACTCCCTCGGGGACAATCCTATGTACGTATGTATGTTGACCTTCTTTCCTAGCATACGTAGCCAACTGTGCTAATCGGATGTGTGGGAAGGAAAAGTTGTAACTTGCTGACCCCATGCCCCGACTGGACATGTGTGAAACAGAGCTTCATAGCTCATCGGATTCTCCAGTCTCAATAAAGATTTTGATTCTCCCTCTGCTTGCAGTTCAACTTCGTGGGGAAACTGCTTGGCCCACAAGGGAAACACGTTGAAACGACTGCAGGTTGAGACGGGCACCAGGATGGCCATCATGGGCAAGGGGTGCATGAAGGACAGAGCCAAGGTGCGTATCTCAACATGTTCATCTCCGAGCACTCGGGTTCAGTGAAAGTGTGAAATTTATGTAATTTTACATTGGCATTTATTTGTGGTTCATATAATCGTCGTATATGATCCAGGAGTGAGATTTTTTAAGACTAAAATTTCCCTTTCACCCCATACCTGGGTCACGAAAACAAAATACATCAACTTTGCGTAAGATCAAGCAGCAGTGTGCAAGGGTCGAAATATCCAGCTCAAGTAAAAACTATGAACTATGAAGCACATTTAACAACAATTTATGTATAAAATTTTAAATAAAAGGGTATCCTTAGGTTCAAAAGAGATATGATATTTAGTTCAAAAGCATTTAAGTTCATATTGACCAAGTGGTGGGTCCAGTTGCTGGCTAGATATTGACAGGGAGGTGAAGATAATTTTTTGCCTTAACTAAAAGCAATTATTTGCATTTACTAGGAGCATTTTGGGAGAACGATTCTGAATTGGTATTTAATCTTGGTACATAAGTTATGAAAGTTTAGGCACATTCAAAATTGCAAAGGTTTGATTGTATAGTTAATCTTGCCTGTGATTTCTTAGTTAACGAGTGGGGCTGTTGTACGGTTCCGATTGAATAGTGCAGAGGGCAATTGCCACGTGGCCTCTGTTGTTCTTCGTTGCGACTACAGGAAGAGGAGCTCCGAAACAGCGGTGAGGCCAAGTACGTTCACTTGAATGAAGAGCTGCACGTGCTCATTGAAGTGTACGCACCGCTCCCTGAAGCCTACAGCCGCATGGGGCACGCTCTCGAAGAGGTCAAGAAGTTCTTCAACCCGGTATGAAGTCCAGCGCAGCAGTGCACATTTAATCGTTACATTTCTTAAAACTTTTTTTTATCAAACGAGCTGTGATCGTGTTGTCTGTTTCATCTCATATGACAGTAAAATTCCTGATGATTTATTTTTGGGTTAGACTGCATATTGATCAATTTGGTTGTGAGAGATTTTTATATGTACCTTGGAGCTGAAACTATAATAATTGACACGTTAAATGCTTGCATATGCGACAGTTATTTTGGTTCTAACAACACAATATTTGGCAATATAATTACAGTGGCCGAATCGAAAAATATCTTATGAAGCATGCTATTGGCTGCGAAACCTGAGTGTAAAGAACTTCCTGTCCAGATCTCTTCTTACATCGAGCAGTATAGGATAACATCCTCGAAAGATGACATTGCAAAACTACTTCTGAAATCACCTCGATAGCTCCTTTATGAAATGGAAAAGGTTTTAATTATCAGAGATTGAATAGGCTGAATTGATTGGGGAAAAAACTATTTTAACATGAATTTTTTGTGTAGTAACTATTGACCAGGCCGAGACTATGAATTTAAGTTTTCCCTGTTCTTGCCTTCTCTCCTACCCGTCTACACCAGGACTACAACGATGAAATCTGCCAGGAGCAGCTGATGGAAATGACATACCTGAATGGCGTGGAGGTGCCCGTGGTAGCGCGTGGCCGTGCCATGAGAGGGCGCGGCATTCCCCCGCCTCCTCCCGGTGCTCCTGCGCTCATAAGGTGGTACCCCTTACCGCCCATGTGCATGGCTGCCGTGACACCTTTACACCTCCGAGTCACGTTACTATGATTTCCGCAATGTGATTGATCACGTTGCCTTATTACATTTCACGATCACAACGTTTATCGCGCAATACATGTAAAGTTCTTCTTGGTGCTTTCGGTAAAGTCACGTAGAAGGGAAGTGAGAATTATTTTATTATATTATTTTATTATGTTTTATTTTTATTATTTTATTACTTCCCTTCTACGTGACTTTACCGAAAGAACCAAGAAGATGAATCCCTGCAGTCACGAAAGCTTTAAATCGAAACATATAAAGTTTCCTTCAACTTTGTGTCTGTACGTTACGTCTCTATCGTCTTGTTTTTTTGTCATTTTACGTACAAAAAAAGATGGCGTAAACGATTCAACTGCAGTTAACTCTCGCTATAAGTGTCTTTTGATCATTGCAATTTTTACAATCTGTTACGCACTTGCTGTGGGAAAATTACATCATGAATTGTAATGCCATCACGTTTAACAGAGCAGTAATTTCACAAATATTGTCAGGAAATGAAATATTAGAAACATAATTGAGCAACGATAATTCACAATATGACAATATTTTATGACTATTTTGCCAATCGGACAACGTGGACCTTGTATCGGACACTATTTTCCAAGGCCGTAATTATAATATATATTGGGGGGGACACATCCCCCCCAGTATTGATGTAAAAAATATATATTTTTAAAAAATAATTGCTATGCTACGACAGGCAACCACGCACCGCCGTCCGAAACTTAACACCATTCACACTTGTAGCGCACTCATTGCAGTTAATGCAGCTCAAATCACGAGTTAAATTTCCCCCCATAAACAATGCCCGGCTATCTCCCTGCCTGCAATGTGGGTCACACAGACGTGTAGCCACTGCTACTTCGATCCCTGTGTGAACGCCGGAACTTTCCCCGTCTCTGCAGGGGCCGTGGTGTGGGCCCCCCGTTGCTGCGTGGGCCACAGGGGGGGTCACGCGGAGTCTCATCCCCCAGGGGGGCCCCGCGAGGGCGCGGGGGACCTGGGGGGCCCGTGGAACGTGGCGGAATGAGTGCACGCAGACCCATCGGACGAGGTGCCGCCAGGGGTGCTTCGAGGGGGGTAAGTTAAAGCGCCTTGTACAAATATATATCCACACACACGGGACTTGGGCATCACGGAAATAATTAAGGTGTGTGTGGGTTGTGGCATGGGCCTTCCTTGAGTTTTGGGATGTGGGGGGGGGGGCTTGTGAGTTTTTTCTCCAGTTGATTATAAGCTTGGATGAACAGAATGCTCGATATTGGATTGGGGGAAAATGACGGAGCATATCTCCACTGACATTTGGGCAGGTGAATTAAAACAGCCTTGTTTTGTTAGGTACTGCAAAGCCTAACTGGCGAGGGACTGGATAGCCTGGTGGTCATAACGCTTGAGTGGGGGCTTTGCTAGGACGCAGAGCAGATTTTTTTATACGCTCGCGTGTACGCCCAGGCGCCGCCAACTCGTGGGAGAGGAAATGCGGGCGGTGCCACTTCGGGTCCCATCGCGTCCACCCCTTCCCAGGTGCCTAGCTCCCGACAGGCACCCACCACACAGAGGGCGGCACGCCTGTACACCCCCCGGCAGCAGCATGGCCAGGAGTCCTACCAGGACTGTGTGAGTCGTTAGCAGGGGCCAGCGTTCAAGTGGGGCCCCCCGCGGGTCACGAGCCCTCAGGCGGTGTCGTGCCGTATGGACCTGGCAGCCGCGTTGCTTCGGTTAGCGTGTCGTTTCTATTATTTGTTCTTTCACGCACTGCCAGAGCGCACTTTGCACTCCACCACGAAATGATCAATGGATTGAAATTTGAAAGGACTATTTATTTGTTTATTGTTATTCCTATTCTGTTGCTTTTCACGACGGTCGTGTGCGAAGTCCGCTGGCTTGCACTGCGCGCGATTACACGGGTGGTTCGTTAACAGTCGAGGGGTGCTGGGTGAGGATTGGCAACACCTGGGGGAACGTGACTACCGCGTTCAGGCGCCGATTTCCGTGGCATGGCTGGTATCCTGTCTAAGACTTCACTTGGTGTGGCCCTGCTAGGGCTATAACCTGATCCCCAACCGTAGTAGGCAAATGAGTCGGCTTAGTTTTTCTCCGTGGATAGCCGCTGTTGTTTTAATACTCGTGAAACCCCAAGTAACAACAGGGGTGGCTCATTTGGCTAATTGGCATGGTGCGAGGTTCCAGCTGTCTGGCAGTGCTTCTTTATTAGCACGCAGAACCATTTACAGAGGACGCACGAACATTGCGTGTTGTTAGAGTGGGTAATTGAGCAGTGTTTTTATTTCTTAAATATGATCGTCTGGCTAGGATAAAAGCACTTGCATACAACACTGCTACCTTACTTGATACAACAATAGGAAAGCTGAACTTCCCCAACACCAATAGATGTTTTGTCCTTTTGAATACATTTTTGAATATTAGGCTGAATTAAGTGAATGCAATTTAAATTTGCACCCTGGCTCTGGCAAACACCGCGAATCGTACATTCACATTGTATATCTCTGAGTAGGCTTACTTGAGCCAGGAAGTATGGCAATTGGCACAGTTTTGCCATAACCTGTTTACTTTGCATGAAGAGCATTTCCACTGCTTTGTTTTATGATTCGCTGAAAAATGTGTTTTGCCGGCACAGTCGCAAGGACAGAACTCGCAGCGGGGGAGTGCGAGGGGGGAAATAATCTGGGGAGTTAGCTACTTGAAGAAATTAGTCACCGTGGCAACATATGAACCTCCAGAGACTTTAGTCAGCCATGTTAGTTGGCTCAAGTAAAACATGTTGGTTTGGCCGAAAACGTTCACGTTGATGTCTTTTATGGAGGTGAATGGTAACATTTAGATTTATAGCAGTCGATTTTAGTCAAATATGGATATGCATAACAATAAGTAAAAGTTGTTGGAAAGTGTTTTTTGTCCGTTTTCATAGTCTGGTGTTGGAAAGTTTTTTTTCTGTCAGTTTTAATAGTTTGGTGCTAGATCTGTGTGGATTATTAAAAGGTCTTTGGGCACAGTGGGACAGCACCCACCCCATATTTGGTTCCAGCTCCACTTTGCACCGAGTGTACTAAGTGAATGCTTGGGGCTTGATTACTCCTAGTTCTGGTTGAGGGTTAAGCAAGCTTACTTGCAAGAGTTGATAAGTACACGTCGTTGAACATTCGTATGTCAATTTGACATAACGTGATACCCGTGAATGTTTAAAGCAATCCCATCTTTTTTTATTGGGATGTTGGTAGTACATTTATTTTGGTCCCAATTGTCCACAAGAATCGGTGCGGGTCCTCTTTTTAAGATCAAGGCGACGTAACATTTTGTCATATAATTGCAGTGTTCGTCTCTATGCAAATGTGCATGGTCATTGTTTTTGCAATAAAAAATATATTTTTAAAACCAATCTATGCTCAAATTTATTGTCTGTTGATTCGCACCCCCCTCATAGTCTCCCGACACTTGAGCCTCCTTGGAGGCAATTGTGCTGTGGAGGTCGAGACATCGCATTTAAAAGGGTGACCGCAAAATGTTTAGCTACGTTATTTAGAGTATATTACAAATCTGTAGACGTGGCTGCTGCTGCTGTATTTAAATTTAAACCTCTGAAAGGGTGTCCCCTCATTATTTGCATTGTCTGTTTTATACAACTCTACATGTTAATATTTTGCCACCTTTAATGCGAGTAAAAATGCTGGCCTCGGAAGAGACAATTTAACTTTTCTTCAGTAGGTACCTGCATGCATATATTCATGAGCATGTTTCATAGCATCATTTAAAAATATATACTGATCCAAATTCATCATAGCTCTGCTGGATATGTACCTGGGCTATATGACGCCAGTTTAAAGCTCATCCAGAAGCGAGCGACATCGATGTCAACCATATCTTTCAACATGACATTAATGCCACGAACGTGTTGACGATTCCTGACCGTAATTCATTATAAATATATTTGCTTGAACCTTCAAATTAGTGTCTGACATCCCGGAACCACAAAGCCTAGGTACTTATCACCTGGATAAGTATTTGTTTATTTGGGTTGCGTCTTTCGCTAAGGCGCTTGAGCATCTGCCAAGGTTTTTGCTGGAGCAGGCAAAGAGGTGATTAATTTTATTTTTAGTTGGACCTGACTCTTACCTTGCGTGCGTTTACTCCTCAAGGCCTACGATGACAGCTATTCCAGTTCACCGTATGAAAGCCATGGATACGAGACTTACGATTACTCCTCCTTGCCAACGTTCGACGCCTACGATTACGAGATGCCCGCCACACCAAGGTAAGTCCCCCCCCCGTCATCCGTGCACCAGACCAGCGCTTGAGCACACAACCACCTTGTACATCGGTCTTCACTAATTTTCAGAGGTTCGGGGTGGGGGAACTTTAACCGATAAGACATCAGTGTGCGGGCCGCCAAACCACCTGCAAAAGTGGTCCTTTCAAATGTTTGTGTATTGTCGGATTCTGCACTAAAGGCCACCAGGGGCCGCCAGTTGTCCGTGGGCCTTGCAATGAAGAACACTGGTGTACAAATTATCCCTTTGGGGTTTGTGCAGATACGGTGGCCGAGGAGTAAGATGTCTTTTTTTTTTTTTTTAACACTGCACCACCTAAATGTATTCGCTCTGATCCCTCTCGATATGAGTGAATTGAATTTCCATGGTTTTGGAGGTTGTGGTTCAGTTTAAAGAGTCATTTGTTTCCATGGTCGTGACAGTATAGAATGTCCCGTTATGCCACTTTGTTTACATGAACCAGTGTCTCGAATCGTGTTCATCAAATGGGTTTTTTTTCCCCCCAATTCCGAACGCGCTACTAGCGGCCATCCGCAAGCCGAATAAGTTTCCACGTGTTTTGTAGGAATAAGCCAGATTAAGTGGATGAAAAAAATGTGCTTGTCACTGCTGACCAGGAGGAAACCATCTCCCCTCGCTCCAGTTGAACCAAGTTTAATCACGTGTGGCTGAAGAATGGATACGCAGACATACATAGACAAAGACGTACATAAAGACACGCATACACACAGACACAACAACAGGTTCCATTTGCTACATCACAGCAGCACTTGTATCAGGCTCGGTGCACTGTGAGAACATGACGATGTGTTCTTATGACTCACTGCTGCCAAGGCACGATATAAACCCATGTGGTGTGGGTTAACTGAAATGACTGATAGATGCACTGTCTGTGCTTGCCAATCATTTGTGACGGCTCAAACCATCAACTCGCTGCACTTGAGAAGAATCCGTTTTTAGCGTGAGTGGCTGAAATGTGATATTCAAACCCATAGTGTGTTGGCTCAATCATTTGACCCTCATATCCCGCAAACTCCAAGCATCGTGTTACGTGTTTTGTCAGTTTCCCTTTTATCTTTCTGCCATTGCACTCCTGTACATGTTATTCATGTATGACCATGAAAGCTAAAAACAGACGTTTTGATCTAGCGACTGCTACGGAATCTTGCGTTCTTGCAATAATGTACCAACCCATAGTGCGCTCAGTTCAAAAATGTACCGAAATGTTACGAATGTTTCCGTGGAATTCTATTGGTGTTCTGCCTCTGCAACCAGAGTGGCTCGTTGATAACCATCTGTTCCAAAAACGTGACAATTCCTGCTGTTAAAAAAGTCCTTTCTGTGCTTTGGGTTTTTTTTATTTCACTTTTTTTTGCTTCCCCACATCTCACCCCCCTCCCCTCTCGTTTGTCTCGTGTTCGCCTTCGCAAATCAAACTTCAACATTTCTGCGTATTTTGCAGCGGTGTAGAAAGTTACGACTATGGTCACGGATCGACCGTGGAGGCGTACACTGGTTACGGTAAGCGGAAAGCTTTCTCTGTAAGACCGTCGTTTTTTTTTGGTGTTTTAAAAGAGACGCCCCTGATGTCTTTCGCCACTCGCGTTTGATTTCCTACGGCGATCCGTCAGGGCCAATAGAAATCCACGGAAACACTCGACTTCCCCCCCCCCGCCTGTCGTCTCTTGTATTTCAGTTTTTTTTTCAGTTTGTATTTTGAAAGGCGGAACCGATTTAACTTGAGTGTGTTGCCATGCATGTGGAGTTGTTGCTGTGCTCGCATATACTAAACAATACTGTTGTGGTGTTCTGTTTTGAACCAAACATTCACTCACTTCCAGGGCTTTGTAATTTGGAAGGTGGTGTTTGTCTCCCAAGAGTTGTACATGTTGTGCTTATTTGTAAATACTCGTCATAAACTCGCATTGTACATTGACGGTTCGTGTCTTGTAGGAGAAAAGTTGTATCGTTAATGGTAACATTTAAAGAAACCCTTCAGCTGTTGTGGCACCAAACCCTTGGGCTATCTTGAGCTCCCCTGTTTCAGTGATCCGTAATATTTTGCTGAATTTATGGATTGGAAATTCGATTATCCCATGAGAAGACGAGCCCGCTCCTGTTACGCATATCAGACATCCCCTGGCCCAGACAGTTCTTGACAAGAGCTCGCTGTATGCAGCTTTTACACCAAGTACATTTGAGTTGACCAGTGTGGAAATTTTAAAATGGAAAATAAGGCATAGCCCTTTGAGAGCGATCAGTAAGAGCCCGGGTATCAATGTAAATTGGGATCTTGGGACGTACGTTTGCCGAATGAATATCTCAAGTGGTGGTTCATCTTATGCACTAATTAAAACGTTGTGTGTAATTGTGCAATGTCAAGTCTGCACGCTCTCACCATTGTGCCACTTTTGCTTTAAGCGATTCATTTGTGTGGTTAAGCTGCGGCACAACTCACAACACCCATTTTTTTTACTGCGGCGTTTTCGTTGCCAGCTAGTGTTTGCGTGGATTTCTCTTGGCCGCCCTCCCCCCGGGGTGTCGCGATGGAATTTGCTGTATCCTGTAAATGGCCTTGCTTTCTTGGCCTTGTTGCATTTGCATGAGTAACGCGTCTTGGGTTTTATTTTGTAAGGGTTTTTTTTTTTTACGTGAAAACAACCGCTGTCGTTTTCACGAAGAAGCGGAGATTTTATTCATTGTTAACTTCTATATCCTTGTACAAAAATGAAGAAAAGGAGACAAAAAACTCATTGCATTTAACATTAGCACAATCCTGTAACAGAAAACATATCCAGCTAATATTTGAACACTTGACTTCTCTCCGGGTTGGAATGGTCCTTGTTCACAGTTTTTAAGGGCCGTTTTCCTTTACCGTAATTTCCAGATTATAAGATGCTCCTGAAAGTGATTCGTACCCCAAACTGGTGCCCGGTGTTAATGAAATTGGACAAATCTGGTCACACACGCACCTAGAGGATTATAAGCCTGACAACCAACTTTTATGTTGTAATAAAGAGGGGGAATTAATCTTATAATCCAGAGAATACGGTAAATATTGCTTGCCATAAACGGGTGTTAATAACGAATGTTGGCGACTATTAGTGCTTGTGCACAACTGCCAATGCAGTTTAACTTTTTCCAGTTTATGCGAAACACATCGTACAGTTGTAGAAGGCTAAGGAATGCATTTTATACATTAACATTGACTGTAAAGTTTTACTGCAAAAGCAATGTGCTTTGTAAGCTGATGTATGCCAATGGGGTGCATCAAACAAAACAAAAAGCATCGGGTTCCTCCAATATTCACGAGTTCATCTGTTTTTAAGTAAAGGCAAGATGTTCCTGTAGCCTTGGTGGGTAACCAGTATCGAGTGTTAAAATAATTGTTTTTATGATACGATTCATTCCTCTGCGGCCCAAACCATGAGCGATGGACTGAACCAATCCTGATGTGTGAAATATAAATCTTTTCAACCGAGCGACTGCTTAGTTCCCGTCATTTATGTGACCCCCCACCTCCCTTTTTCCATTTCTGCCTGCCCCCCTTCTCACAACCTAACAGGGCAAGAGGAGAAGTGTGGAGGCTCTAACAATCGGCTGAAGACTTCGTCGTCCCGCGCGATGCGGTACTCTTACCGCGAACACCCGTACGGCCGGTACTAGCTCAACCGGGGGAAAGCCAGCAGCCCGGGAGCTCACACACACTACTCACCCACTCCTCACCCACTCCTGCCCTTCCACCACCACTACCACTCCCTTCTCTACACAACCTGCTATCCACTTGGGGGTGGGGAAACTACACCCTAATTGCCAGATACAACCCGCGAACTTAATTTCGTACATCCGGTGGTCACATGAGGCTGGCCTACGTTTTGAGCGTGAAATTTTAACCGTCGCTGTGAAGGATCATGGCTGGTTGCGTCTACTTCGGAGCTGAGAATCCAGTAAACGCGTGTTAACGAGGGTAAAAAGGGAGGCACCGTGCATCGCAAGCAATGCGATTGCACCGAGCCCCCCCAATGATTACAAATATATATTCTTGGATAACGCTAGGATTGCGTCGTGTTGTGTGGCCTGCCTAAGTTATTTTAAAGTCCCTTACCCGCCCCATTCCTTCGGTAAGGAAAAGGGTTCCGCTACCCCCTGCCTTACACAGACCCCCCTCCCACACCACACTTAAGACGCTCGCTCCCCCTTTTCAGCGTCGCTCCTCCAGACAGCCGCCACTCCTCCCTCGGCCGTGCCCGCACCGTGGCGTGTTGTGTGCAAGTAATTCGCCATCTTCCCCCCCCACCACCACACACTGCATTTGATTTGAGAATCGTGAATTATTCTTCCTCCGCCCCCCTCCCCTCCCGTCTCCTCTTTTGTTTGAGCGTCGTGATGGTCCCTTGTCAGCGTCGCATCGCTGCAAGTCGTATTTGATTATTTTTATTAGTTTTTTTTATTACGTAAATAACATGAGCTAGTCTGAGCTATAGGATCATGAAGCAACATTGAGTGTAAACGATAGCTTTTTCTCTTTAAATACGTAGGCTTTGATATTGCTTTCGGTTACCTTTTTAATAATTACGTGATTCCTTTGCTTAATGATTTACACTGCGTAGGACCCTTGACATTGTTATTATCCTTTTGATGTTTTGCATGTTGTAAGAACATGCTTCTTCTTATGGTATTTTGTCATTTAAACATAAAATAAGTATTAACGTGTGAAAATACGTGGTTGGTTGTCTAATAAATATCAAGGATAGTAATGCAGGGCCAAAAAACACACTTTGTAACTATGTGCTCAGTATTTGTTAAAACCCTGCTTAAAAAATAACATTGACACAATAATCATTTCTGACAAAGCTCAAACCCAAATAGATGTTGCATTGATGTTGCTGAACTTCATTAATAAACTTTAAAATATACACAAGAAAATGTAACTCTCTCGCTGTTCAATTATTAATTTAAAATTGCAATAAAAATTTGTGAGTCCTTGAAACCATTGTAGTTGGTAATGTGTGTGCCACAATTAGAATGTTGTTTTAATGTTAAAGGCATTTGCGTGAACCACAACCACATGAAACTTACCGTGTCACAGGTATTAAAATGTAATAATACCACATTTACAAAATGCTTATTTTGTTTATGTGTATACACATGCAATTTGTAAATCGATGAATACTTGTGTACTTAATAATCCCATAATATAAATAGCCACCTGTCATTACCCAACAAATACACAAGATGGACAATACTGCCTGGTCTTTAATGGGTACACCACAGGGTGTCTGTTGTAAATGGTGTTATTCACAAATGAAAAAATCGCATAAATTGCTATAATTTCTCCTGAAAACATATGTAAATGAAGAAAGAAAAAAAAACCTTGCTTAATGAAAAATATTGTTTAAATAAAACCTGATTTCACAATCGTGCAAAAATATTTTAAACCATCCTGACATTCTTTGGCACACACCGACCGCCAACTGTTGACGTTATTAACCTGTGACCAAGTCATTGTCTTAACTACGCTGTAACGTTTAAATAATACTCTTTCAGTTCGGATGCTCGTCAACAACTTTATGTATCGCGAAGGCTCTTTTCCCCCGGGAGAGCTATTAATGCAGGGCCAGCCAGCCTCGAATAACTTTCACATGACAACTTGCAGAGTCAGCCTGGCCATATCAGGTAACCTTGTCAAGTACATCACATCACACTTACTCAGCTAATTAATCGCATCCTGCTTTTCCCCTTTTTAGAAGTATATAAATAGATTTCTGTAGTGCGTTTTTTTCTCTCTCTCTCTGTAGAGTTCTCTTAAATTGCTACCGAATTGACAACTTAGCACTGTGTTATTTTGAATTAACGTTAGTTTCGGAGATGTTGCGCAAGAAATTAAATTAATGCTTGTATTTACGTACACTTCACGCACGCGGCTTGCTGTTTGTTTTAAATGTGTCGTGCTGAGCCGTTTACAAAATGCAAATGCAGTATTGCTCAATTCGTGATTATGCCGTTTTGTCAATAATCGTTATACAATTTAAGTTATGGTTTAATACATTCTCCCATTGTGTTGGATCAACTTGTCTGGTATAGTAATTCAAATTGCCATTTTACATTGCTGAACAGTTTTTTACGTATGTTCTTATATTTAAAAGAAATCGCTCCCGCTGGACTTTGTTCCTTGCAGTGTAGACATTACCGGGTCTGTCTATACAATGCACGACACAGTCGATTTCTAACGGTGCATTTGTGTTTCTCTTTGCAGGGGAGACGTAAGAAATTCTGCTGTCTGACGCAGCATACTTAACTTGCGTCAGGGGGGAAGGCCGGCCTCACACCGCGACCGTTTATGCCGTCGAGTGTTGATTCAGTCACATCGTGAAGGGCAAGCGTGCCGAAGAAGCTGCAAAGGGCACATGAGATCTGTCTGCTGTATAACGCACAACACTTCACCGGTCTCATGCCCAACTCTCCACGGCTCATTAGGAGGGACGGATGCGTTGAAGTTTGAAAAAACGTGAGAAAATAATTATGCAAGAACAATTGTAGCCCAGTGTAAGTCCACCGCTGGGTAAAGTCCCCTCCCCCCCCACTCCGTGTTGGTCTTGCGGATTGTTTGGCTGTACTTCGGCACTCGTGCTACGGTTTGCGTTGAAAAAGTTGGAGGCCCAGGACCCGTATCGCTCGTCACTTGATGTTAGCCACAGATGGGAATCAAAGGCGGCTCTCGCCAGGTTTGCAGCGTGGTGTGCCAACCACCACACCACTTCCCCCGCCGAATTACCGCAAAGCGTATTTGTGCGAATTCCTCTTCAATAATATATAACGGGTGAAGTTTATTTGAAAAGGGAAAAACCAAGAACACATTTCGGTAAAATATTAAGTGCTGCAGTTGGCAGTGGCCCACAATTAACAAAGGAAATCCATTCGTTAACACCTACTGGCATAAAGGAAAATACACAATAGGCACATGCAGATGAGCAATAGCCTTTGTCATTTGACCAAAACTGTCAATTTTTGTATGGCCAATTTGTCCTCCAGCTCCAGCCCTTGCGTTGAGAGTTGTTTTGATCTTGTACCCAGACGTGTTACTGTATTCTCTGGATTAGAAGATACTCCGAGAAGTTGGGACACATTCCAAACTTACTAACAGAATAAAGTTATTCTAATGTTTACACGCAGCTTTTGATTAAAAATACAGGGTAAAAAAAAATGTGCTTTTCCAGAGAATACGGTATAAGTTTGATACGGGAACACTTGCGTTTCTGGATTTCCCAGCAACACCTGGCTCCACTCCCTGGGTGTCGCGATGTCTGTGCTCACAACTACTCGCTAGAGTTTTATACGTACGTAATCTGTGTATTTTAAACTGACTAAAAATAACCAAATCGTTAGCACTTAACTTTTTTTTTACATATTTGTAGCTTGTACAAAGAATTCGCAACATTTTATGAACACAGTACGAAACTGAAATGGGTTTTATGGTTGGTTTAAAGTTTTGAGAGCGAGTTTCTAAAAAATGTAACAAACTAATGCTTGGCTTATTTTGAAGCCCTTTCCTCTTGTGTGTTAATCCTATAATATGAAATACATTATTATTGAAATCCCTCCCCACTATTTTTAATTAAAGTACGAGTTAATTTAAGTTCTCGAATCTGACTGCCCCTGTATGGAGTGTCATGGATGAAGGTGTACATAGCAGGTGTTTATTGTGCTCATGTTTGCTGGTGGATACCGATACATGAATGATTTCGGCAATTGCAAGACATCCGAGTGTAATTTAAGTCATTTCAGCTGATCCAAATTGGGTACAAAGGACACCTATTAGCAGATTTTGAGGACAGTATTAAAAAAAGATGACCAACATTTTTTACATGTTAGAAAATATTTGTATTCTGCTTATATATAACGATGTGATTTTACACGAACCCATGAGTACATATCCTACGTAAGTTCAGGGTCTTTAAAAATGAGGGTCACTGTGACAAATAATTTTTTGTCCTGGATTAAAAAAAAAACTGGCTCCTATATTATGAAAGTAGATATAGATCCATTACAACCTAGTGGCCTGCATTGCTTATATTTTGAATTGCACACGCTACCAAACTGAACGTAAGCCGATCGATCGCTCTGGGATTTGTTATTATACGAGGTTGATTGATTTTTTACGGGGTACTCCCGTTTCGCGTGTAAACCTCGACGTTGGGGAAAACTGTGAAGTCGCTGAAAGTGCAGTACTCGTTGCGATTGAATGTTTGGAAAGATGCTGCCGGAGAAAGTCTCGCCTCAAACCCCCAGGAAATTGTGGCCCCAAATGAGCAAACGTGAGTTTTATAATCGCAAAGAAACTGAAAACTAATTTGATTCATAAGTGTTTTTTGGGGTTAGGCTAATGATCTGGCCAAATAATGTGTGGCTAAGACCCTCCGTCACGTGACAGCCAAATAAATAGAATTGTCGCGTGTACAAGTTTAATGTGCCAATCGTTTCAGCTCACCTATAAGTTGAAACATTCTCAACCGAATCAAGCAATTCGTATCTAAGTTCAACAATGAGTTTAGAACTGAGAATTATTCTTCAACTTACTGGTGGGCTGAAACAATGACGTGTAAAACGTGTGACGAATTGTATTTGTTTGGCTTGTGGAGGGGTCTGAACGACACCGATTTGGCGAGATCATTGTGCCTCGCGCAAATTTTTGTTATAATAATGGCTGCGACAACACCCTCCGTGTAAAGTGAAAACTTGGACGTGTCACTAGACGGAGAGGTGCACTACCAAAACTAATCTCTACTGGATCTGCCCAGATGTTTCCCTTAACTCTGCCAAGTCCATGGCTTCAGGCGAGACGGTCTTCACCTGGTTGTGTGTAACGCGTAGTTTCTGGCCGATGGGTACACGTACGGCCTTCTATCAAAAGAGACAACCCCCCCCCCCCCCCCCCCCGTGTAAGTTGTAATATAGTTTGCCATTTGTATATTTGTAAATACGGTCGTTGCGTTTCTTTCCTGTGTGCATGGGAGTGTTTTTGTTGCGATGACTGCGTTTGCCGAGGAGTGGAATCCCAGATGAATGCTATTTAGTCCTGGAGACCCAGATTGGATATTTAATTTGTCGTTTGCCGCCTATGATTGGTGGTAAAACTATAATAAGTTACACCAAATTTTCGAAGATGAGCGTCATTTCACTTTGAATGTGTGAACAAAAAGCATCAATGTGACCGCATCTCTAGAGTGATGTAAGAAACTTTATAAGACGTGCACAGCATTCGATTGTGCAGGAAGGGGGGGGGACACATTTTCGATGAGGTCAAGTGCGGAAAAGTTGTGGAGCGCGAGGTGGTAAGAATAATATCGGTGGTAAGGGCACCGCGATGAGACGTTAACTCTTGTCACCTGGTATGTTTGATAGCGTGGGTTCGATTCCGACCCTGACGCATGCTGTATATTAGACGTTTGCATGTGGCTTTTCCCAGTGGTCGCGTGGATTTTTTTCCCGGGTCCTCCGGTTTTTCCCATCCACATTTAGAGACATGCGTTTTGAATATTTGGCTGCGAAAAATTTCCATATGATAAGCCACTTCGTTGAGCTGTCTTGTGTGGCCAGGTTGCTTTTGAAAAGAGCTAGACAGCTCAGTGGGACCTTACCTGGTTAAAATAAAGACAGTTTAGTTTAATTCCAGTCCTGAGCGAGACGTAATTTTTGTCTTGAAGAGTTTACATTCATTTAGCGAGTTCCAAAGTCTTTACGATTTGCTCTGAGCATGGTCTTCATATGCATAGGTTGTGTGCACCAAAGTCTCAATGCAGGACAGGCAAATCGTGTAGTTATCGCCACCATGAAAGCGTTAACGAATCGCCAACGTTGCACCATTGTTGATTAATAAAAAATAAACCTTGTTAAATTATTAGGTTGTATATAATCCACTGTTTTGTAAAGAAGAAAACCAAATCCCCCATTGTCTATGCCAGTTGTGCTCGCAGCGTTGTTCCATTAGATGATAATCCGTGTCGATTTATCGCGGAACTGTGTGCCACGTGTGTTGGGTCACGGACGTGATATTTTTCAGTGCCCTTAGTTTCTTTTTTACACAGCAGGGGGAGTTCACACTTTCACGATCTCTACTATGAGGTTACCACTTGACAAGTCAAACTTAAAAAAAAACATTCTCTGAGCTGGAATTTATCCAAATCAAATGCAAAACCAGATCTACGTTTACGGCCAAATTGTGCAATCATTGGTGACCAGGCTGAGACCATCTGCTCCCTACCATTGTTGACTTGGTTTTGGAAGACAAACACAACATTGGCACTGCTACTCTGTCCCGTGGAACATTTGTGAAGATCACCAGCGAAGTGGAGTTGATTTAAACGAGTGTAGGCACTGGTTGCCACTTTGCCTTAGGCAGGAGTTGCAAAGGAATGGTCTGGAATTCCTTTAGCGGAGTGTAAACCTGCTCGGACCGGAGATGTTCAGTTCACATTACGTTTGATGAGAAACTGACGCACTGCTTTCACACGGGGAACAAAGAAAACCAAGAGACGAGATACATTACCTCTATACTCATTTAACCAAGGTAAGCTACGTTGGTGTCTCAGGAGGGTCCTACATTTTTTAATGTTCGGTCAATCCTATTTTAAATGTTTGGTTTCATGTAGGAGATAGGTGGGACACCCGGAGAAAACCCCAGGCATACGAGGGAGTGACATGCATCAGCTGTCTTCACCTGCCCATCTCGTAGCCCCACCAACCACAACGTCGGAAGGGAGTTCTACACTCGTCACCCAGCCTCGTGCGAGGCAAGTTCCACTCCGCTGGGCATCTGAAGTCTCGAGGGAGATGGGGCGCGTCTGGGGTTTTGTTTGGAGTGATTTCAGTCGGCCGTAGGTGACAGCCCATTTAGACAATCGTTTTCCAATGGATCATTAAGGAAGCGGCGTGCGAGTGTCGTACAAATGGTCCAATAAACTACATCTTAAGGGATTGGAAAATACAAAAAAGCGATAAGTTTTAGTCGCCAGTGTTTGCAACATCTAAAACAAAAGTACAGGTTTCCTCCTTCGCTGTGTGCGGTGGTAGTGGTAGTCGTGGATGAGTTATACTGGTAGGAAACTTCTGATTACACCAGCCCACGGGATTATTCCGTCCGTCCGTCGTGCATCCAAAAATGTGAGGGGTGGGGCTGGGTGGAGAGGGGAGGGTGGGGAGGGGTTGGTCACCCTGTGGTGCCCTTATAAAACTCAACGTTTAACCTACTCACGCCGGCTTGTGCCCACCCTCGGCCATATTTGCGGAATACACCACGCCGCCGTTGACCCTGGCCATTGACCGAGCAACCCAACGTTCCTACCAGCTCCCTCCGCAGGAATATGTTTAAAAAAGGGCGCACAAAGCGAAACCGGACGAGGAGACAGCTGCCTATCAAGTAGTGAACAGTACACACTCGTAGTACATACGTCCCACGTACGACCGCATGTGGCTGAATTGAGACCGCATCATAGAGCGAATGTTGTGTAGAGCTCGATGAGCCGCATATACGCGAAATTGCACACACCCGAACCCGCATAAAGCGAGGGAAACCTGCTTTTGAAAGAAAAAAACACTTGTGGACGCACGGATGCATGGGGTTTAAAGAGCCACGGCCAAGGTGCGTGACACTAAATGCCCGTGTCACAACCGCATGTCCGAGCGGTTTCTGTTGGGCCGGATAGATCACGATAAACCGGCATAGCACGGATAGAGAAGAGACGGACTGATGCGGTTACAGAAGGATGTTGAGCTGATGGGACTTGCCGCTGACCGGTACCAGCAGTGCCCGCATCGGCCTCTGGAGGAGGCTCGTGAAGGACGCTGCTACTGGGCAGTTGGAGGCAGCCGCCCTCCAGCAACAACGGAGGGCGGAAGAGCTACGCTCACAACAACGAGCGGAGCGCCGGGCGGCTAAAACGCAGAGAGTTTACAGTCGCGAGCACTGTTGGTGCATCCGCCAGCCGTCTAGGTCAGTCAACCCACGGCACCTGGGTCTGTTCCGTGACCTGCCAGCGGGCCTTCGACACTTCACATGACCTCGAAGTGCACCTTGCCTGGCACAAGCGCCGTGTTGACGTCATCGCCGTTTCGTTGCGAACCGGCGGTGGTTGCGTAACGTGTTGGGCTTGCAGGAGCGCGGTCAGATCGGTACGCGAGCTGCTGCTGATGGTTCTTGCCAGCAGAGGGCGGTGTTGACTACGGTCCTGTGCCATGGGTTAAAAACGCCACACTTTGAGACGCAGTATGGGGACTTTATATTTTGAATTTCCAATGCGTTTCTTGTAACCTGTCAAGCTATCGTTGCGAACGAACAATAAACTCCGAGGCATCCATTCAAAGGCGTTGCTTTCCAGCGTGTAGAATTACGACCGTCGGCCCACGGGACATCCACTGCTGGATGAAGGCCACCTTTGCCAAAAGGCCGTCGGCGTCTCTCGCACGAGTCCTACGATGCCGACAATCGACGAGCGCGTCGGTGTCTCTCTTACGCGCCCGCGTGTCGCTATTTTAACCCGTTGCTCAGTAAGACATTGATATTCATATTTTTAGGTTTTTTCGGTAAAGTCACGTAGGTAAAAAAATTACCGAAAGAACCAAGAATATGAATCCTTGCAG